CAGTTGCAGCTCACCTGAGCTTGCGCAAGACACACCTAGGCCCCCTCGCGGCCTCGCACAACAGCATCACGCCACGGGGGCTGAGGGCGTTGCCAGTCACGTCCAGTTCATGCAGAGTCTGACTGTGGGCAATGACAGAAGCCAGGTCCTCACAGCAAGCTCTGGTCAATTGGCAGGAATCCAGGCTGCAACAGAGAGGATGTGAGGAGTGGCCCTGGGTGGTTCCAGCCAGACCACCCAGGCTCACTTGGCAGCCCCTGGGCCTCCCCCGTCCTCTGTGATAGAGTCCTTTCCCCAGCCCTTGGACAGGGACCAGGGCCGAGAACCTCACTCTGAGTAGTAACCTGGCACCCTGGAAGCAAGGTTCTGCAGTTCTGGGCCTCCCCTCGGATGCCTGCTAGGTGTCTCTCCCTCTTGCACTGGTTGTCCAACCCGAGGTCGCTCTACCTCTGCCCCACATCCCCCGCCCCTTCTACTTGGAGAGAACTTCTCCAGAGTTGCCGAGGCTGGCCTTGAACTTGTGATCCTCCTGCCTCAGGCTCCCTAGCCACTGGGAGGACGGGGGGGTGGACCCAACACACCAGCCTGGTACACCTCCTGATCTCGTGGAACCCCAAGGCGCTGCTCAGGGCTGCACTGTGTCCCTCAGAGGGCCCGTGTTGAAACCCCAGCCCAGGTGTGACGGCACTGGAGAGTCTTTGTGGAGGCACTGAGGGGGGACCCCAGTGGGCTCCAACTGGTGTCCCTGCAGGAACAGGAAGTCCAGGCGCCCACAGGCCCAGAGGGAAGACTGCGGACAGGGAGGAGGCGGCACCGGGAGCCAAGGAGCAGCCTGGAGCCATCCTCCCTGCAGGCCCTGAGAAGGAACCAGGCCCTGGGCACCTTGAGCTGGGACTCCCGGCCTCCAGAACTTCTCTTGGTCTGTGCACTTTGCTAGCGCAGGCTGATGAGCACATGCGGATGCTGTGTCAGAGGCCGGACTAAGCATTAAATGAGATGTGGGCTGCCTCAGGGTCATCCCCAGCTGCCAGCCAGCCTGCCCGACAGCCCAGGGAGACCAGCCATTCCCAACCAAGGCAGTGGGGTGGATGGATGTGCACCAGCAGCCAGGTGCGGCTGCCTTCAGTCTCCTCCTACCCATCAGCCTGTCCTTCTGCCACCGTGAGGCTGCACCCGCAGCTTCCCAGCACCCACCTGAGTTCCTGTAAGCCGCAGTGGGGGTGCAGAACACCTCCGCTCAGGAACGCCATGCCGATATCTCCTATGTTGTTGCCCCCGACATCCAGGCTTCTCAGGTTTGGGTTGCTCTCAAGGACAAGAGCCAGGACCCGACAGATCTTCAGAGTGATCCCGCACCTCTGCAAACTGTATGGCAACAGCCAGCACAGAGACCTGTTATCCCAGGCACCTCCCGAGGCCTGGAGGAGGCCGAAAAGGCTCAGTATAGACTAGGCGCAGGAAGAGAAGAACCAGAACTAAGAACCACTACAAGCATGTCCTGGAGGAGAGTGTGATGGTCCCCTTCTTTGAAGAACCAAGAAGAAGAAATGAGGTGTGGAGGTGACCGAAGCCTGGGGCCCTGGGGACAGCTGTACTGCTCTCAGGGGGTACACTGCAACATTCAAGAGGCATCAGGACAGAGGCCAAGTACCACAGCCTGAACCCCAAGGACCTGCACAGTTAGATTTCATAATGAACGTCTTCCTTCACCAGGTCGAGGAAGTACCTAAAAGATCATAATTTTCCTAGAGTTATACTAAAGGGATAGTTCTGAATGCCGACTTTGTCTTTTAGGCAGATTTTTACTTTTCTAAGCATCTCCTTTGGGAGGCGGGGAAGGGCCCAGGGCCCTGCAGCTGCCCAGCCTAAACTCTGTCTGCGAGCCCCACCCTTCCCCTGACCTTTCTGATGCTGGGACAATTCCCTCAATAGAGTTTTGGAATTCGCTTACTGCAGGGCTCCTTAGTGCCTCTGCATTTCACGGACGGCACTACACAGCACTTGTCCTTTCCCACCTTCCAGCTGTCGCTGCTGTCAGGACTACCATGTCCTCCAGTGTCCGTGTGGGGCTCTCTTCTCTTTGCCCTCTACAAGGACTCTGACAAAACTGCTCTTCCATGAGGGTTTAGTGAGAGTCGCTGGTGCAGGCTTCTTTCTAAGCCACACTGGGCGGCTGATCTCGTTGTGTGCATGGTTTGGAAGCTTTCCTGCTTCCCTGCAGCCGAGCACTGGACGGCAGCTCCTCTGTCCCGAGATGCGCCAGAGTGTAAGCCAGGTAGAGTCTCAGGACAGAAATGTACAGAGCCTCACTGATTCTTGTGTGGATTACATACTGGAGCCATAGCACTTGTTACACGGGTAAGTAAGCTGCATTAACTGGTTTGGGACTTGACACTGAACCCCCAAGTAGTTAACCACTCAGCCACTTCCTCAGCCCTTCTTATTTAGAGACGGGGTCTCACTGAGTGCTTAAGGCCTCGCTCAGTTGCTGATCAACTCCTGATCCTCGAGCCTCCTGAGCCGCTTGGATGAGGAGAGTGTGCCACCACGGGATCCAGCTAGTCAACTGATTCAACTTCCCTGCTCAATTTCACCTTTGTGTACTGCAACTCCAACATTTCACACAGCATGCAGGGCCGGCACCACACTCTGCGGGAGAAGGTGGACACAAGTGGCCCTCTGCAGAGAGCAGCAACGAACTTACACTCTTCTGGCCCTTTCGGCTGTCGGTGCCACCTGCTTCTTTACTTCTCTCCTGTTCCCTGCATCTCTGTGGTTTGGCAATTGAGACAATGTTGAGCTGGGCACACTGGCTCACGCCTGTAACCCTAGGGGTCTGGGAGACCAAGGCAGGAAGATCCCAAGTTTGAGGCCAGCCTCGGCTATTTGGCAAGACCGTCGTCAATTTAGAAAGTCCCTGTTCTTGGTCAAGAACAAGTTTTAGAAGAGGACTGGGGTGTAGTTCCGTGGATGAGCACCCCTGGGTTCAGTCCCCGGTACCTCTTGGGCACGTGTCCCCATCGTTGGCCACTCTTTCTTCCATTAGTTCTAACTCACTGTGCAAAGCATCTATGAGGTGAACACAGACCCTCATCTCTAGGTGTTCCAGTATCTGCTAGTCCACGGGGTCCCTGTTCCTCAGAGTTGAAAGGTGATCTTTTGTTGAAGCAGAACACTCAAGGGTTTGACCCACGAGTCTGAGGTTGGGGGACCTCTCTCTTGTCTTCTCGCCACTGTTCCTGATCTCCTTGGAGCTTAGGTTCTTTTCAGTGGGTTGAATTTATTGACCTTGGAAGATCTATTTGGAGAATGTCAAGGTCACGGCTCATGTCCCCCATCATCTGCCCCCACAGAGGATTGTTCCATGGATTTTTACAGGGGTCTGGCCCACAATGGTTTGGGATTCTTGATTTTTAATCCAGTCTGAAGGATTTGGGGAGAACCTCACGCGACCTACATTTCGACTACAGCTTAGGTTTATTCCTCGTCCATTTTTAAATATTGTGCTGAGGTTGTAGTGGCTTCTTTCAGAGACTGACCAGCATCTTAACTCACCACTGCAGGAAGGAGATCGCATCTCCTGCTCTTCTACGATGGCATCCAACGACCCTGCAGCCTGGACCACGAGGTTCACGCTCACATTTCCTAAGGGATCAGGTGAAACCTCCCCCACCTCCCTGGAGCCTGGAATTCTCAGGGAGGCACCTGATCAGGACGCAATGACCTCCCGCTTCCCGGAATTCTGTCGGGAGGCTCCCTGGCTTTATCAGCCTGAATCCCCACAGGATGGTGGGTCCCCCTCGCCACGTTTCCCCTGGAGGGTGGGCTCTGTTTCCCTCCTGATGACACAGGTTCACCTTGGGCACACAGGCCCGTCATCTAGGTCGATGCTCTGCCCACCACAGGGCCCTTCCCTGGGTCACCATGCCTACGCCCCTGAAGGACCTGCCCCAATATATGCATCTGAGGTTCACAGGAGCATCTCTACCCGAACCTCAGCCTGAGAGCCTTCAGCCTTCCTGGGAAAGGCACGGACACTGTCCTTCCTGAGCAGGGTGCCTCCCCAGCCAGGGGCAGGGCCTGGCCACCAGGCCACCCTCCACGGCCTACCACAGTGTCTGCAGGCGGCAGGTGGGCTGTCGCAGGGCCTCACACAGCTGTGCCACTCCCTTGTCCATCAGGGGGTTGCTGCTGAGGTCCAGATGGCTCAGGTTTGTGTTTCTCAGGAGAACCTCAGAGAAGTGTGGGCAGAAGTGCTCACAGATCTGGCAGCCGGCCATCCTGGGGGGGAAGCAGGGGACAGCAGTTCACGTGAGGGCCCAGGTCCCAAGGATGGCTCACCTGCACGCTCAAGGTGGTCTTTCTGTGGTCCTGTGTATGAACTCAGTGGGACCCAATCTCCCCTTTGACTGCTCCCTACCCACATGAGACAGGCAGGAGGAACCAAACCCACACAGAGCCTCATGAGAAAACCAGGGGTGAGAGGCACAGCTCAGATGCGAGAATCTGTCAGTTCTAGTTCCAACTCTGCATCTCACCCCGCCCTGGGACAAGCCATCTGCCCCCTGAGGCTGTTGCCCAAAGCACTGGTGACAAACAGGGTGACGGGCATGGGTCATCTCAGGTACCAGATCCTCAGCTTGTCAGGTTCTGGAGAATCCTAACAGGTTCTAATGGCTTCTTAGAAGGAACGCTCTGCCACTTTGGGAGAGCCAGGGGTACAGGAAAGAACAGAGCAGAGGTGGCAGCGGGGTCCCCACAGGGGCCGCTTCTGCTCCCATTCACAGAGGGGCAGCCCGCAGCCAGGAGGCCCACTGACTGCAGGAGAGCAGCAGACCCTGGACCTCGAGCCGTGGAGCCTCAGCTGGTGTCCTGAAGCCCTGCTGCGGTCTCAGCTGGTGGACAGAGCGCAGAGACCCGGGATCCTGCGTGCCCCTTGCCCACCCAGTCCACTTACACCAGCGTCTTCAGAGTGCAGTATGGGTGGTACAAGGCTGCGCACAGTGTGGGCACACCCTCAGCGAGCTTGTTATCACTGAGGTCCAGCAACGTCAGCTTCCTGTTTATCTCCAGCATCGAGGCCAAGGCCTTGCAATCCGGAGCAGAGAGGCCCGAGTCCTGAAGCCTGCAGGGAGGGGACACCACATGCTCTGGGCTTCCCTGCCTGGACTGGCCCCTGGTGCTAGTCCTGCCAGGGCCTGTCCTTCACAGAGCCTCCTGGGGAATCCTGTCATCACCCCAGCCCCCGTCTGCACAGCCTGGCCCAGACTCAGTCACTCTGTGCTTACCCACCAAGTCACTTCCCCGACCCCAGGGCAGCCCCACACAGGATCCTTGTCCTGCGAGGCCCCTCCTGCTCCCCAGCCTGTGCCTCCCACCACACCAGGCAGTCTTCCTGGAGGACTCAGGATGCTGTGCCCAGCACGTCCCCTTTCCAACTACTGTCCCACTAGGGTGGGGTTGGCGTTGCTCAGGGAGAGTGCCACCCTCCTCCCCAGCATAGGTGATGTCTCCTAGATAGCATCCCACGGAGGAGTTGAGCCTGAGGGGGAGTCTCTGACTGTAGTCGTGACTCCCATCTCGGGGGCTATCCCTGCACATGGGCACACACATGCACTAAGCCCTGAATGACAGAATGGACACATTCACAGCCTACACAGGTGCACGTCAATGCAGGTATGAACGCCAAGACTCTGACCACAGCCCTGACATTTCCCCAGGGTGATTCTGCAGCAGCTCCTGGGTCTAAAGATGCCTGTGGCTTCAAGATATTTTCAAGAAGTGAAAACAATAGGATTTGGCCCACATCATACCCTACCTCCAAATTAATTCAAAATGGATCACAGATTGAAACCTCAGAGTCTAAATGATAGGGCTGGGGTTGCAGCTCAGGGGTAGAGCCTTTGCCTATCATGTATGAGGTTCTGGGTTTGAATCTCAGCACCACCTAAAAGTAAAAGCCCATCAACAAGGAGAACACATTAGACCAAACTTCCCAACAATGAAAAAGTTCAGAAAATGATCTGAGACCTTGGGGTAGGCGATGGTCTCTCGCAGGCTACACAAAACATACAGGAGAGCACAGAAACAAGAGGTGGTCCCTGAGACCGTACAGAGCGGGGCTGTGTGCCAACCAGACGGCTGGGCTCCCACATCGCGAAGCCTGCACCCACAACGCAGAGGAACCCTCTGGACTGCGCAACAGAGACCACTCGCTCCAAAAGCGAATGCTCGGGTGAGGGTGGACGTCCCTCCAAGGAGACACACAGACGCCCAGGAGAAAGCAGGACAGCATGGGAGGGCGTCATGCCCCCAGGGCAGGCCATGGCAACAGCAGCACAGCCAAAGGCAAGAGCAACCTCACCACTGTCCAGGTCAGACCAGAAACTAGGCAGCAGGTCCCGGCAGGGGCCTCGGACTCAGCCAGGAAAGGACTGAGGCACGGACGGGGCAACAGGGAGGGCAGCATGGCAACCTTGCGCTCAGGGACTCAAGCTGTTCCTGAAGGATCCCAAGCCGTGAGTCAACGGAGACACGATGACGTGCAGAACACGAAGTTCCATCAACCCTGAAGTGCGTCCGTGGGTCCCGGGGATGGACACCAGAGGACGGGCATGCGCTCGTGGGTAGGGTCTCCTCCTAGGTCCCGCAGACCTTCCAGAATCAGAAGGTTGTCATGGCTGCACACCCCTGAGCCTCTGCTAAGACCTCTAGATTCACTCTTCAAAGCTCGGGGTTTCAGGGTGCGTATTGTACCCGGACCAAGCTCGATGGGCAAAGGGATCTGGGTCTTCATGCTCTCAAGGGGAGTGCCCAGGGCACGCACTACCCAGGTGGCTCAGAGACTTATTTGGCGCTCGCCGCGGAGGCAGGAGGTGCCGTGAGAAAAGGCCCGGAGTGCCGTGACGCGCGTGCGCTTGAGCTTGCGCAGGTCCTAGCGTCGCTGGCTTCCCCTCTGCGGGCACCCTCTGGCGCCACGTGCTGGGCCGACGCCTCAGGGGAAGACGGTCCCCGAAGGGACGGCGCCGGGAAGGCTGCGCTTGTATGACGGGGATGCGGCAGCTCCCTCGCATCTGCGACCCAGCCCCAGGAGTGCGCCATGGACCGAGCGCGGGGGTCCCGCCTTCGAGGCAGCGTGGGAGCCTCGCCCGCACACCGCCCGCGTCGGACCTGCACATTTTCGGGTTTTGGGTTTCTGCGTCTGCCGGCGCGAGAGGCGCGCTCACGGCCCGGAAGGTCGGGGGAGCGGGAGGTCTCCGCGAGCCGGTGAGCACGCCCCGGCGCCGCTCCTTCGGTCCTCCGCGACGCCAAGAGCGGCCGGTGCCGCGCTGGGGAGGCTGGTGGCGCCTCCGTGCCCCGGGCTCTCTGGGGTCTGGGTGTGGGACGAAAGGCGGCAGGGTCCCCGAGGTGAAGCGAGAACAGGAAGCAGGAGAAGGGCTGCCGGGGTGGGCCGTGTCCAGCAGACTTAATTGCGGGACATCATAACAAGGAGAGGAGTGCTTCCCTCTGAGCAGTCACATCCACCTACTGGAGCCAGTGAAGGAAAGTCGTCAAAAATTAACGACCCTCAGCACCACATAAAAATAAGTAAGATAAAGCTAACTGTGAGTACATAATGTATATATAAAAATATACATGTATTTAGAATTTGTAAGTATATACTGTAAATATATGTATTGTATATGTGTTGAAAATATATATATGTTAAATTGTTTAAAAAAAAAAAAAAGAGGAGTGCCCAGAAAAACAGCAGAGAAAGAGCTGTCGGAAGTGTGTGAACATCACTGGGCACGGTGAGGGCCCCCACCAACGCCAGAGTCCCAGCGGCTAGGGAGGCTGAGGCCGGAGGACCTGGAATTCAGAGCCACCCTCAGCAGCTTATTGAGGCCCTAACACTTGGGGGTGTGGCTCGGAGGTTAAGTGCCCCTGGGCTCATTCCCCACACCAAAAAAAAAAAGACCTGAAGTTGTGGGCACCAGAGAGCAAAGAGGATGAGTCCTTATTTGATTAAAAATGCTTGAAGCAGAAAGAGAGCACACAGTTTCCGGGAGAGAGGCCAGGGGCTGGCCAGGAAACCCTCCCCAGGAAGTCCAGGTGACATGACGGGCCTCCAGGCCTGCCTGGTCACTATCCAGCCTCTCCTGCCTCCGCCCATCACCAGAGGTGAGCACCACCAGGCCTCTAACACCACAGTCTTCCCATCTTGAAACCTCAAAATGAAACCCTGTGGTCCACTCCTGAGTTAGACTCTTTCCACCACCAATATTGGAGATTTGTCCAAAAGGTTACCTGGGGTTGTAGGCCAATCGCATGGATCGGAGATTGTAACCAAAGGTTTTTTGTCCATTGAGGGAAGTTTCCACTTCTCAGGCCTTAGGGGGTCCTGCCCTAAATGTCCCAGTGTCCCTCTCTCCCCAACCTGAGCCACCAACACCGGAAGCACTTCTCCTGGGTTACGTTGTGCCCAGACTGTGCCACAGCTGAAGTGGGGTTTTGCAAAGCGCCCGACTCGATTTAGAAACTAACTTCCCTGTCCTGGTCTCGATTTCTGGAGACCAGAATTCTGTTCCCAAGGGACAGGAAATAGGACAGAGATGCCCACGTGAAAGGAGCCTAGTCTTCTCTGGAGTCCACCCCGAGGCTGGCGGGCAGCACTCACAGTAGCTCCTGAAGGTTGCACACCGGGTTGCACAAGGTACTGCAGAGGACCCAGACCTCATCGTGGGAGAGCTGGGTGGAGGTCATGCTCAGGTGTTGCAGGTTTGGGTTACTGGTGAACACCTCAAAGAAAATCCCGGTCTCACAGAAAAAGGAAACTTTTCTTGTCCTGCAAAAGCAAAGGAGACTCTGCATGATTCTGATCCACCCAACTCCAGCAGCGCAGCGTGAACGCCTGCTGTGGTCACCCCTGCGCCATAAGTGACCCATCGGCCACTTCCACGACCCAATGGCCTGGGTGGGTTTTCCCCCAAAGGCCACGTTTGGAGACGGTGTGGTTGGCAGAACTAGAGGAAGCCATGGGGTCTTCCTTCTTCTAGGGGAAGCAGAGCCCAGGGGGCCTCTGGGACCCACAATGCACACACAGGCCGACCACCAAGGGAGAGCTTCCCAGGCAGCAGGGCTCTGGGCTGAGACACCTCCCTGGGGTCCAGCCTCTTCCTCAGGCTGGCAGGGAGGTCAGCAGTCTCCACGCCCCAGGCCCATCTTCAACTCACTCGAGCCTCTGCACGGGGCACGTGGTCTGTCGCAGCTGACAACACAGGATCAGCAGCGTCCACCTGCTGAGTTTGCTCTCCACCACCAGGAGTTTCTGGAGATGCTCATTGGTGGTGAGCACACAGCAGATCTGGCGCCACCAGAGGAGAGTACGGCTTGACCTGTAACAGGAGAGACGAGAGGTTCTCCACAAGGTCACCTCAAGGCAGTCACAGCCTCTGAGCACAGTGTCAGCTGCTTGGACCCCAAGAGGGGGAGAACGAGGTCAGCTCTCCTCCTGGGGTCACTTCTCGCCCAGGACCTTGGCCATGCTGCAGCCTTTCAGGCCTGTGCTGCCCAAGGGCCGGGGCTCCTGACACCAGGGCAGGGCCAGGGACGCCTCTGAGCATCCTTCAGCTCAGGACAGCCCCCAGCAAGGCCATAGCCCACCCAGGCCACCTAAGTCCTGGGGTGGGAGACCCTCCCTTGTTATCAGTGGAGGCTGCTTAGAGGAAAGAGGAGGCAGGAGGCCAGAGCCAGCCTCCAGCCAGATCTCCTGGCCTCCAACTTGGCCCTGGCCCCATCCCGACCCTGCCATCTTGGTGGGCTGACGTGACCTGTGTATCCCGTTTCCTCCCTGCAGCACCACACTAGGAGGGTCCACCTGGTGGCTGACAGAGTCAACCAGGAGTTTCAGAACACAGCAGCACTAGTCTGCAGAAGGGAGGACAGGGTTCTGGAGCCTGGTCCCAGGGAGTGACCCAGCGTGAAGCCTGGTGAGGGCCTGGAAGGGAAAGAAAGGGATCGCGCCCCAGGGAAGTCGGCCTCCTCCCTCAGTACAGTCCTTATTGCTGCTTTGGTGAGGAGACCCATGCAGCTAGGAAAGGCCAGGCTCAGGGACGAGGCCACGGGCTCCCCACGAGAGCTGCCGTGCACCGAGAGCACACGTGCCCCATCCACAAGCACCATGGAAAGACTTGGGAGGAGGGACCCAGGGCTGGGGCTCAGCGGTGGAGCCCTGCCCTGCACCTGGGGGCCTCAGGGCTGGATGCTCAGCACCAAGTCAAAATGAGATAAGTACAATTAAGGGAATGTGTCCATATGTATTCTTTTTTGGGGTTCTAATGGATAATACCATTTTTTTTTATTTTTTTAATGTGTTGCTAAGGATCACACTCAGTACCTCACCTGTGCCAAGCAAGGGCTCCAACACTGAGCCACCAGCCCCGCCCCAAAAAGTAACTATTTTTGAATTTAATAATAAAAAAAAAGATACATGTAAAGAGGAGTTTAGGGCTAGTCTGGAGCTTTCTGGACAGAAAAGGCAGGCAGTGACCCCAATCCACGTGAAACGCCCCGTCACCAACCCCCTGTGAGCACACACACAGATTCTGAAAAAGGGTGGAAAAGAAAGTGACGGCAGGGACTCACATGGGGTTTGGTCCCCTCTCTTCCGGAAAGATTTCTGGGACTGAGACAGTGAGCTCCCTCAAGCTGTAGCAGTATTTTAGGCAGTAGGCAGCAACCGCCAAGTCTGGCCTCTCCCGAAGGGGGAAATGGGCCTCGCGGAGGCTGCTCATGAGGTGGCTGGCAAAGGCGTCACTCTGCATCTCGAACAGGGCATAGAAGAGCAGCAGGAACTCCACCTGCTCCTCAGGCTCCTTGATCTCCACCAGGCTCCTCAGACATCCCAGGAGCTGGGGCGCCAACTCCCGTGACCTCTGCATCCCAAGAAGGGCATCCAGCCTCTGCTGCTCACTTCCATATACGAGGCCAAAGAGGAAGCAGCCCAGGAACACCCAGCTGGCTCTGTCTTTCCTGAAGTATGTGAGCAGCAGTGCATCTATGGGCCTCACGGCCCGGCTGGGGTGGTCGCGGGAGCTGTCCAGCAGGTAGTACATGGCCGCACAGAACTCCTGCATGCACATGTGGATGAAGCAGTAGGAGCTCCCGGACTCGCTGTACTTCCGGAAGAGCCTGAGGTCCAGCAAGGTGGTGGTATCAGTGTCCGCAATCCCGTTCCTCCTGAGCTCCTCTTCGCCAAACACCCACGTGTCGGTCCACATGCCCTCCGCGGCCAGGGAACACAGCGCCTTCAGCAGGCCTTGGCCCTGCTGGCTGGGCCGAGTAGCGCCCTTGGGTATGAACGCTTGAAACATGAAAGACAGGAACACAGAGCTGGACCTGCAGCAGGTGGCTGCCAGGTCCCTCCCGCGCTCCATCTCCTGTTTCAGAGAGGTGCACATCATCCAGCAGAGGAGGGGGACGTGGCACATGGTGAAGAGATGCTCATTGCTTTGCACCCAGCTGAAGGCTGCCATGGCTCGGCCCCTGTCTCCAAAGGAGCAGCAGAAATACTGCTTCACATGGCTGGCCTGGAAGGATCTGAGATCTTGCATGTTTGGGTGGTCCAGTTTGCTCTCCAGAGCTTCTGGGCGCCTGGGTATGGCAGCCAGGAGCAGGGCCGACTCTGGGAGAATCTTCCTCCTCAGCAGGCTGCTCAGCACTGTCTTCACTGAACGCTCCTCCCTCCAGTCACGGCACAGCTCCGACTCGGGCTCCATCAGGGTGCACAGCAGCTCCTCTAAGCTGTCGACGATGAACAGGATCCTCTCTGGTTGGGCCACAATGTCCGCCAAGGGGACAGAGTCATCGGGCCATTCTCTGCAGATGAGCCTGGCCAGGCTGGTCACCCTCAGCTGCTTCAGTTCTCGGCAGCATAAGTAGAAAATGAAAGAGAATTTGTCCCGATAGAGGGTACCGTCTGACCAGGCCAGCATCACCTTCATCAGGAACCTCGTTTTCCCCATTCTTTGTAATGCCTTGAGGACGACCGTGTGAGGCCTCCTGGGTACCCTTGGAGTGAAATACTCTTCCAGACTTTCATGCTCTTCACTGGTCAATGTCTGGTCAAAGCAGCCAGGGATCTCAGTGAAGGCGTCCCTGGACCACATTCGGATGAACTTCTTCTGTATGTGAGCTCGATAGGCATTTGCTGGTCAGCAAGGGCAAGAGAAAAACACAGCACGTCAGAGTTCCACCCCCGCACAACCTGAAGGCTTCAACCCGAATCTCTCCTATGGGAAACAATGTCCTCAGGGCCTGCAGGCTGTGGCCACAGCCTAAACCACCAACCAGACAGCCCTGAGGGTCAAGGCCTGCCAGGCCAGCTGCAGAC